GTTGTCTGGTCACCCAGAAATATTAAATAACTTACCCAGAGTAAGTTAAAATTGGAATTAGATTAAAAATGGAATTTTAATGGAATCAAATGGAAATTCAAATTTAATGGAATTCTGGCAATTGTTATATCAATAAGTACATACAGTACAACCCTAATACGTAGCATATGATGTTGCCAGAATTCAGCTATACTATAAGAAAAAAAATCATGCCTGCCATGTACACAGTGGTAGATACAGAATCTCCTTCACTGCTACATGTTAAGCCTTCTAAGACGAGTGTTGCAACAAGGTTTAGTGTATTTGGAAATTAGACAAAACTGTCATTTGAAAAATGCAAAGTGGAATCTCTCATCAGAACCTCTTCAGAATCTAACAGTTTTTTCTTTAACTCAATTCAACTCAACAAACATTTATGAAATGCTTAGTACACTGCATGCCTGGTCCTTCCTTTATCACAGTTACTGAGTAAAGCCATATTTGTGAGTGGGCAGAGCAGGCAGTTACCCATTTCCATGATTTCAGAAAGGCCAAAGGTATCTCCTACAATCTCAATATACCTTCCCCATTAACTCAACAATCTAAAATTGCTTTAATAGAGAACAAAGCCAGAGTCTGAAATAAAACTCTATACTATAAAGAGTTCATAGGAGAGGTAACTGATTTCAATTCACCTTGAGGTATAAATGAATTCTATAAGAAGGCCCTTTCCTCAGATTATGCTTGGATGAGAAGGAAATGGAGGGACAAGGGAGTGTGACTGGGGAGAAATAAATGGTTAGCATGGAGAGAAATAAAAACATGCTAGGAGCAACAAAAGCAACCTTCATCTACTTCACCAGTTTTATGTAGGAATGTCCCTGATACAAAGAGATAAAATACTACATGGAACCAAAGTGATGACAGCAGCCAAATTTCTATTTCCTATTGCATCACCAATGGTGATTGGGGTGAAGGGACTGGATGGTGAAGGAAATATGGGAACAATGTGAGACTTTTTTTTAAAGAGAGCTAATGGAATTGGGGCAAAAAGGGTATTCCAGAATAGGGTTTGGGTTTTTTTGCCACATTTTTCACCCTTCTATCTCAACATACTATTTACTGAATGATCTTCCTAAAGATATTCCACTTTTAGCTACTAACAGAGAGGCAACAACGTTCAGTGGATAGGTAACTGCTCTCAGATTCACAAAGATGACAGCAAGTCCTACTTCTGATGCACACTGCTTGTGTGACCTTGGGTAAGCTATTTAATATTTCTGGGTGACCAGACAACTCTAAGCTTCTAAGTTTGAGAACAGTTACTGGTCTGCATTGATAGAGGGAGTTTCCTAACTGGATTCTCACTCCACAGATAAAACCACAGGTCCAAAAAAGACAAGTACAACAAAAATACTAACAAAAATGCAGTATAGTGCTGCACAAAGGAATGCTAGATTGGGAGTCAAAAGACCTGGGTTCCAACTATGTCTATCACTTAGTATCTATGTGACTCTGAGCAAGTCACTTACCCAATCTAAGTCTCATTGTCTCCACCTGCAAAATAGCGTTGAACTAGGTGACCATTACGACTCATTCTAGCTCTGATCTATGGTCCCACGTATTGTCCTCGACATATTAATGTGACAAGAGTATAAAGTGTGGGGCAGCTAGGTGGTGCAGTGGATAAGAGCACTGGCCCTGAAGTCAGGAGTACCTGAGTTCAAATGTGATCTCAGACCAAACACTTGACACTTACTAGCTGTGTGACCCTGGGCAAGTCACTTACCCCCAACTGCCTTTAAAAAAAAAGTGCATAAAGTGGTAGATTCAGTATAAATAGATAGGCTGAGAGGGAATACTCATATCCTTGAAATAAGAAATGGAGCTCAATGAAACTCTTAATAGCTGCATTCGTTACTAGTCAATGAGGTGCAAATGCTGAAAAGAGATGGTTAGGGTTTAAAATTTTGAAGTCCTAAAATTTCTCCAGGTGCTCAAGTCTCTTTTATCTTTTGATCAAAAAAAATAGGATTTTAAAAATCAATACTATAAGCCTCAATGAGTCATGAACTTCAGAATATGTTCTCATGGCTATTTTTCTTTCTTTTAAAACCCTTAGATATGCCATATACCATAGGTTTCAGGAGGTGGATTTAGTTACCTCTATCATTAAGATCTTTGAAAGAGCAAGTCTGGACCACATCACCTTTACCACACCTCCTTTTTTAGTTCAGTAACTTCAGCTTAGCCTTAATTAGTCCAAAGGTGGTCTTCCCCATCACAAATGCTACATTTTAAAGGTTTTATGCATTTAGAAATAGGTCAATATGAGAATTTAGAAAATGTCCTCTCAGCTTCAAGAGGACTGTGGTTGGGAAAAGGTGGGGTTCCCCTCTATAAACTATCATATGATTCAGTTGTTGTTGGGGGGGACACAAAAATATACCTGTTGCCTCTTTTTCAAATTTCTTTCACATCCATATATATATATATATATATATACACACACACACACACACACATATATATATATACATACATATGTATATTTAATGACTGAGAAAATAAGTTTACTTATTAGGTTTATTAGTAATCAGCTCCAAAATCCTAAAAGAAAATCATATTTATATAAATACTATTCAAATGATAAACTGTCCTCAAACTCTATTCAATATTTTGCAATTCTTCAAAATAAAATGAACTTAAGTAGGTGATTGGAAATTAAACTAATTGAGAAAATTTCCTAGCAATAAGGTTGTGGGTCAGTTCTGCTGTGTTCCAAAATGTCAAACTTTTAAGTATTCAACTCCATTCTAACCCTTTGCCTGTGCTTAGCTCCAATTCACACATAGGAACTTGACTATAGGATATCAGCCTTGACTTGAAATTGGCATTATAAGAGAGAGGCAGATAGTATTTTCATTAGGCTCTCTATGTCTCAGGCTAACACCCCCAAACCCAAAGAAAGAAAGAAAAGGAGAACTGAGGGAAAATGTCAATGGTATGAAATGTTAAAAATCAGTCTCCTATATGGTATAAGGAAGTCATAACAACATAAAATACTATGGTTTTGCTCATTCACATTCTTGTTAAAAAAAGAATTGGGAACAGAAATTTTACCCTGTGCAAAAGACCTTAGTCCCTTCAATGAGGATGTCAATTCTTCATTTTTCTTTTTGCAGGAATAACAATTTAATTTCCCATTATACTCATTCACTTTTGAAATTATTGTTGGGAATCAAGCTCAGATCTTTTCTATTACAGACAACAAGATAAATCTACCTTTTAGCTAAGCTGTGGTTATATTTGACTTGATACCCTCACTTTCAGATGTAGGCAAATACCTCTAAGGGTCTGGCAAAAGTCAATCAATCACTCCTTCCTCCAGGTCTATGTCACAGTGCTATTGATTGATCCGATTAAAGTCCAGTTAAAGTATTGGTGACCTCTGAATAGCACCAGATAGTAATTGGAGTGTATGTTTATCAATGAACAAGCTCCACACATGAAAATGAATTTTCAAAAGTCTGAAATTCTACCAAAAAAGAACTGAGCTTCATAGAGAAAGCTACCAATTGTGCCCCTGAGAAGTTGTCAAAGCATTGTTTTAAGTATTTTAAAAAGCCTTCTCTTTACACTTGTCATTGTAAAGTTGAAAGGAAGGGTGTTTTCTAAAGAAAAACTCCCAAGGATTTTAATAATTTTTCTTTGTTTATTTGCATTTCTATCCCACATGACATCGCCTGTAGTTTATTATCCTGACATTTCAGACATCAAAGTGATATTAGAAACTGAAAGCATAAAGAGGCCTTATCAGAAAACAGTTTCAATCAGATTGGGCACCAGCATTTTCATATCGTTAAAAATCATAATTAAATCAATATAATAGAATGTGTCAGCTACTTGTAGGCTCTATGGGAGTGAAATATTCAAAATCGCAGCAGGAGTACAGGAAAAAAAGCAATGTTATTACTTTTTCATATTACCGAATTTGAGGGCTTAATGCATTAGAAACACTTTTAATAAAATTATAAGCATTATGGCTAAATGTTATTTAGTACTATAACGCATAACTGTGATTAGAGAGCACAAGAAATTATTAATCTTAAAAAGGAAGATTTACATTATAAAGTATTCAAGCTCCCACCTGGTCTTGGAAGCTGTGTAGATATATAACAGGCAGCAATGTCATTAATAAATTAGCCTAAAAACAATATAGGAAACATTAGAAGAATTGGTAAAAAAAAATCAATCTTTTATTTTTGAAACGTAAAAAGATTAGCCTGAGAAAAGAATAAAAGAGCATTGTCAGAGATACACAATATCACTAAGCAGCTCTGGGAGGCAGTCAGATTGTATGAATTAGGGTTGGTTGATAGCGAAAGGGAAATATGACGGACCCCTGGCTAGTTCACAGCGGGAACTTTGCAGAGAAGCTTGCAGCGCGGGGCACATGCAAACTGATGTGGTTCAGCTTGTCAGCCCCACTCTGTGTAAAACATTAAAAGGCCATGTCAGCAGCCTATCCCTACGGCTACCAAGGGAGACGTTTCCAGGGTGGATGGGAGCTACACAAAGGTCTGGAAGCTAAGTACTGAGGTGAAGCAGACAGCACGCTCCTAGCCATTTAAACAAGCCGGGAGGCAAAAGGCCAGGGAAGCACCGCGAGCGGAGTTGAGAGAACAGCTACACTAAAACTGGCAGAATGACTGGACATTTGGAGTGGAGGACCAGCTGGCTTAATAAAGCTGAAGGGTGAGGAGATAAGGAGCTGCTCTGCTTTTTCTCCCTCTTTGCAACTAATTCCCAGTTCACTACTTTTTTGTCGACTAACTTTGTTCTTTCTCCTTAGATTAAGCTGTGTGCTTTGGGAGTTGGGGGAGGGAACAGTAAGGTGGCAGCTGTTCTTTAAAACAATAAACAAACAAAAACTATTTGGCAATTACCAGGGAAAAACAAATAGGTGCTCGTCCTAGAACACATAGGGTCTGTGAACGTGCGCACGCTGAGGTACCTACCATGGTATTCTTGTCCAGGTACATAGTAGCTTGGGTTTCCCGCAATGTGCAGGGAAATGAGCACTTCTCCCTGCTCCCCATCCCCTTCCAGCTCCCCGTGGTGGGTGCACAGGAAAAAGAAGGGCGAGAAGCGGGGGTAGTAGCCCACCGCTCCCCTCACCCTCAGCATCGCCCCCAGCCACAGCGCCAGGAGGAAAGTCCACTGCTTAGCGAAACTCCGCTCCATGCTGCCGCTGCTGTTCCCGTGGCCGCCGGCCCCGCGCGGAGGTCATTCAGTTTGGGAGAGGACCGAAGATGCTGGGATGAAGGCGCCAGGGCAGGGGGAAAGGAAGGAGGCTGGGGTGGGGTGGGGGGCCGGGGCGAGCCCCCCCTCCTGGAAAGTTCAGGCGCTGCAGCTGGAGGAGCAGAAACAGGCGGTCGCGATCCGAAGTTTGCGGTCGCTTGTGGGGCTGGCGGGGAAGGCTGTCAGCGGACGGCTGCGCCTCGGCTGCCTCCGCGCGGACACCCAGGTCCAGGAGTGGGAAAAGCTCCCGCCTCCTCTCCACACCTTCTTAAAGCCCCGGGCAGCGAGTCCTCCCCCCCTACACCACACGTGTCCCCGGCCCGGCTGTGCCCGCCCTCGCTTCCTCCCAGAGCTCGGGGCTCTCGTTCCCTCCCTCTTTTCCTCCCTCTTCAGTCCCTCCCTCCCTCTTTCAGTCTCTTTCTGGCAACTTGGGAGGAACTGGGCGAGCACTCTGCTGGGTTCAGGGGTCCGAGTTTGCACGAGGAGTAGGAGCGGAGTGTGGAGGGAGGGGCTGGAAAGCTATGCTGTGCGTGCTGATTGGGGATGGTGCGGGGGGGGGGGGAGGAAGGAAGATCAGGGAGAAAGAGAAACAGCGCTAGATATGATTATTTATTTTTCCCCAGGTGTCTTGGCAAAAGAAGAGATCATAAAATCCCATATCTCTTTCAGCTGAAAAGGGGGTGGAGGAAGAGGGAAGAGAAAGAGAGAAATGGATGCATGCAAGCATGCACTGGAGACGGGCAGAAAGCTGGTTGGGAGACTCGGGCCCCGCTCCTCTTTCTTTGTCTGTATTGGCTGCTCTTCCTCCCTTCCAGCCTCCCAGCCTGTCTGGCTGTAGCTAAGACTTGTTCTAATAAACTGCTCGTGGAACCTGGACCTGAGAGGAGACATCTAGAGCCTCCTCAGGGTCCACTTGAGCTTCCTTTCCTTCCAGTCCTCTCATCTCTTCTAGCATCCCCACCCCACTCTACTCTGTAGCTCCAGAACCTCATCAGTATCCAGGTTTAAAATGAGATTAAAAGAAAGTAGAACTGGCAGCTTCAAGTGTTGCCTGGAAATGATGATTTGTGATTCCAGGGTGGAGGGGAAATGTGTGGTTAGGGGAAGATGTAGCTGGGACTCGTCAATAACTCTTCTTTGGACTGAAATTTACTGTTTATTGTTTTAGTTTTTGTTAAAAGAAGGGTGGTGGATTTTTGTTTATGGTTATTAGTTTTTATTTTCCTTTAAGTATCATATCAGTTCTGACAAATGTCACTGAAGTGGGGAGTGGGGGTGGGGAGCCCATTCAGGGAAAGGAGCTGGCAACAGTGATTGAAAGGGGTGGTAATGAGCAGCTGAACACGAAGCCGTGGGGAAGTGGAATAATTCATAAAACACGTTTTTAACAGAGGATGGCTGGCAGGAGCACTGACTGCAGTATCAAGAGAGAAGAGGGGGGAGCAGAATTGCTAGATGTTAATGCCTCTCCCCACCCCCACTTGGCTTGCCACCAAACCCATATAAACCCACCACAAAAATTAGTAAATGCTGAAATTGGAAGGGATGCCATACCTAGTAGTGTTTTTTGAAGTGCAAAAGGCATAATCCAAGGGGAGTCTTTTATATTCATCTCATTGCCAAAGGGAAGGGCTTTTTCCTTTCTCATCCGTCCTGCCCAGAACCCTTTTCAGGCAGAAAAATAAAAATAAAATAAGGAGAAGGAAGCCCATCTTTAATACCTTCACCATCCTTCAAGCCTCTGCAGTTCACTTCTCATATGCGTAGTTAAATTGATTTCTTGCATCAGATTTCTTTAGCAGCATTTCAATCTAAAAATATGCATTTTTAAGTACCTACTGCGGGTCAGGCACTGTACCAGACACTTGGACATAAAAAGACAAAAACAAAAGTCATGGCTCCCAAGGACCTTAGACTCCATGGGGGAGTGGGATGTAGTGAAGGGGCATACACTGTAACACACATAAGTAAATAGAAAATATGCACAAAGTAGATAGAAGGTAATTTCGGAAGGATAGAGGCTAGTGAGTCTCTAGTAGCTGAGGGAGAGAACAGAAATCAGGAGAGGTTTCATGGAGGAGACCACACTTGAGCTGAGTGTTTTCTTAGACTAGACAAACTAGAGCTAAAAGAAATTTACTTCTAATAATAAACTCATTGCCATCTCTTGTTTAGTTTGTTGGACATAAAACCAATGTTATTTTAGGCTGCAGGTAAGAATCTGATTTTTATAAGAAGATTCCATCTTAAAAGACTGTAAAATTGGGGGAGCTTGATACAGAGGTGTATAATGTCTCCAGTCCTCTTAACCCACACACATGTGTGATCAGTTTGATTTTCTACTTTATCCTTCTTAAGTTCCCATGCCTTTTAGAAGAATTGTTTGTGAGCGTTTGCATGAATTTTAGCTCTTGTGACTAAGGCACATCCCTGGCATCGAGAAAATCCATTCTCACCAAATAATGTGCAACCTTCCTCATACATCTCTGCCAGTATAGTACCTATTCCCAGCTTCCCATAGCCTTATAGTTTCCATGCATAGTCTTTCCTATGTAGATACTGCCAGCTATACCTAACTGTGCCAGCTTGTGTGTGCCTGATGGTGTAGTGATATGAACTTAGAATGGTGCAGAATTCCCTTCTGTGATCTAATCCTTGAAACAGTCTGCTGTGTGGATTTCTGTAATCCGTGTATTTGTCTGCTAGTGTATAGTCTTTCTAATCAGTTGGACCAAACTGCAGAGCTATTTTCAAAGGGACATTGATTTTCAAGTTTACATTTGAGCTTGAGTATTGATTTATTAAGGTGGTGGTGCCTACCTTAGCACTGGTCAAAATAGAAGTGTCTGGTTTTTTTTTCTTTTTATTAGAGTTAAAAGGGATCTCAGAGATTTGGTGACTTGTCCACAACCACACAGGTAGTACATTGCAGCATTAGGATTTGAACTCCAAATCCAGCACACTTTTCATTGTGGTATGTTGTGACTCACAGATTTCAACTACCCACCTTTAGATAGATGATTCCTGAAGCTCTATTTTCAGTCATTACCTGTCTTCTGAGCACTTGATTATATAGCCTCTGAGGTCCTTTTTAGTTCTAACTATATGATCCTATATTATGTTACATTTGCCAACCCTAATGTTAGCCCAGGATAGAAATTAATCTTTAAGACCACAGAGAGACAACACAATGTATGAAATAAAAACATCAGGTTGGCAAGTCAGAAGACCTGGATTCAAGTGGTTCTGCCACTTGTTAATTGAATGACCTTGGTTATAGCATTCGACATCCCCCCACTTCACTTGCCCCATTTTAAAAATGGGAATTGTAATACATTACAGTTATCCATTCTACACTGAGACTTTCCCATTGTGGTTTCAATATATCTCTGGTTGGCATAAGAAATTAAATGGGAATTTTTAGGGAGTTTTGCAGAAGCCTCAGACAACAGGCAAAGGCCAGCAGATGACATAGAAAAAGTTCAGAAACCCAGAAATGCATAAAATATATGTATAGTATTGTACAATAGCAATGTATTTTATCTTTTAATACTATAATAATTCAGACTTTCTCTCTGATACAAAGAGAGGGCCAAAAATTTCATGTTCCAGATTGGGGGGAGGCACCATACCCATAACCTCCACGAAGTAGAAAGGATAACTGTACTTATTTCACAGGGCTCTTTTAAAAATCAAATAAGAAAATATATGTAAAGTATTTTTTCATCATAAAGAGCTATATAAGACATCACAAGAATGAACTTCCTCCATTACTGCTCACAGTTCCTTAATTGCTTATGAGAAGAAAACGTGTATAGGGAGGAGAAAGCATTTTGGGAAATAAATAGTTCTCAGAGGACTGATAGATTGAGGTTCCCTTCTGGACCACTGTTTCCAATTGTTTTTTTGCAGTTTTTCATTAACAAGTATCAAGAATGTTTAAATAGTACCCCTGGGGTGTGTTGAACTGGACTGGATGGGGGTGGAGGGGTTGCTATACCTCATTTTCAAGCCCTTTGGCTTAATAACATGAGTGTTATTTCCTTTTAATTTTAATCTAAGCTCCTATAGAGAGGCTGATTCAGAATCAAGGTAAAGCTCTGGTTTAATACAATTTAACTAATGAATTTGTTTAAAATACTTTGTAAGAAACTGGAGAATTGATAAGATATAGGTAGTACCACCTTGCCCATTAGGCTTCAAGTCACACACAAAAAAAGTTAATGACAAAGCTAGGTTAAAATATAAGACTCCCAATTAGCAATCTACTGGGCTAACCTTTAGACCTTCCTTTCCACTCAATGCAACATGATAAACACCTTTGGAAAAAGCATTTTCTGTTTTTCAGAACTTACAAACCTACTATGGTCTGATTTTTAAAACAAACTAAATAGAAGTGGTTGTCAACTGAATTTCTTTGAAATTATATTTCCAAAAAGGAAAAGCAGAAAGGAAAAGAGAGATGAATGAACAAATTTATGGAAGGAGAGGGAGAGAAAGTTGTTGAGATGAATAGATAATTAAAACCCTTAGAAGTTTTCTAACGGCATATTCTGACTATAAACTCATTTTTACATATATACATGTGTAAACATATACATATATATGTATGTGTATATATATATATACATATGTATATATATATATATACATGTGTGTATATATATATATATATATATATATATATATATATGTATATATATATATGAGACAAGTAGTCAACAATTACCCAGTGTTTTTTAGCATGGAGTCAAAAGTCATGAAACAATCTGAGGAACATTTGACTTATATTTCTACCTTTACATCTATGGGAGATTATGGGTTAGAAAATTAGAGATAAATTGTCAAAGTAAGTTTTAATTTACAAAAATACCCTATCTGAATGCTTACCTATTCTTTTTGAAGAGGGCATTCTTTGAGGTTGTGCAATATATGGGAGACAGGGTTTCATCACTTCCCATTTCAATTTGAAGTCAAACAGAAAGTCTGTAAAATCATGTAAATCAGATGAGTAGTTTTTGAGTCAATAAATATTTATTAACCAATTATTATTTGCAGTTTGAAGTAGCAGTTATGCAAGTGATGAAAAGAAAGACGTGATCCCTGCTCTCAGGAAGCTTATAATCTTGTAGAGGAGATTATATATGAACACAAATAAAAATGATCTAAACTGTGTGTTAATATAAAAAGTACTATATGATAATATAAGGGAGAGATCCTGAGAGG